AGAGGGTTTGGTCCAGGTATATTCCTTTTGTGGTTTTACCTGGACAATTTCTTTTGTAGGGTTGTCCCAGGCATATCTATCACCTCTTTGGGGGCCCAGGCATCTTTAGTTTCAGGGACTGGCCCAGGCCCCCATCTCTTATTACTTTGGGCCTGGGCTTATTCAGGGTAAGGGATTAGCCCAGGCCCACATGTCTTCTTGGTTTGGGCCTGGGCATCTCAGGGGAGAGGGTTTGGTCCAGGTATATTCCTTTTGTGGTTTTACCTGGACCATTTCTTTTGTGGGGTTGTCCCAGGCCCATCTGTCACCTCTTTTTGGGCCCAGGCATGTTTAAGTTGAGAAACTGCCCAGGCCCACATCTCCTATTTCTTTGGGCCTGGGCTTCTTAGATTAAGGGTTCAGCCCAGGCCCAAATATCTTCTGGCTTTGGGCTGGGGCATCTCATGGGAGAGGGTTTGTTCCAGGCATATTCTTTTGTGGTTTTATATGGGTTTCTTCATTTGTGAAATTGCCCCAGGCCCATATATCACCTCCTTTGGGGCCCAGGCTTATTTAGTTTCAGGGACTGGCCCAGGCCCTCATTGCTATTACTTTGGGCCTGGGATTCTTCTGGTTAAGGTGTGAGCCCAGGCCCACATGTCTTCTTGCTTTGGGCCCGGGCATCTCAAGGGAGAGGGTTTGTTCCAGGCATATTTTTTGTGGTTTTACAAGGGCCTCTTCATTTGTGAAATTGTCCCAGGCCCGTATATCAAATCTTTTTGGTTCTAGATATTTTCAAGTTCAGGGATTGACCCAGGCCCACCTTTTTTCTTGCTTTGGGCCTGGGCTTCTTCTGGGATGTATGTCAGGCCAGGCCTTTACTATTATTCATTTTGGCCTAGGCTCCCTCAGAGTTAGGGAATGGCCCAATCATAATACTCTTGTAGATTGACCTGGGCCTCTTTCATTTGTAGCATATTCCTGGGGACATATACCATCTTTTTGTGCCCAGGCATTGTAATGCTCTGAGATTGGCTCAGGTCCAAATTTCATCTTGATTCAGCCCTGGGCTTCTTCATGGTCTGGATTTTGTCCAGGTACACAACACTTCTTATGTTGATCTGGATCTCTTTCATATCAGGAATTTTCCCAAACCCAAACAACTCCAGTGTTAGGGCCCAGGCTACTTAATGGTCATGGTTTGATCACTCTTTTTGCATTGTCCTCCGCCTTTGAGACATTTGTCCATGTCAATACGTAACCTCTCGTTAGGCCTGGTATTATTCAGGGTCATGGATTTGTCCAGACCCCATCTAATCTTCATTTGGTCCTGGGCTTCTTAGGGTTAACCTTTTTTTTTTTTTTTTTTTTTTGGTGCAGGGCTCTTTCACTTCAGATTTGTTCTTGGCACACTTCCCTTGTCCATTGAGGTTTGGCAGTACAATGGTCAGTTGTCTGCCATGGTTCACTTAGTTTTTTAGGTTTATGCATCTTTACCTTTGTGCTTAATGCTCAGATACTTCCAGCTAAACTTTTAGCTCAGGCTTCTTCAGGGCCCCTGCTTGGCCTTGGCCTCTCTAACTAGTCTCTTTAGTGTTCAGTCTTCAGACTGAGTATATTGGCTATGGTTGATCCTGTACCTGTTTTTCTTCAGAAGCCAGGCAATGCAGTCATCATGTGTCCAATGCTGCATTGTCATTAGACTTTGTCTGTAAATAAAAATAGACAGGTTTATATGACACAGGACAAATACTGGGAGTTGTTCTTTGTCAAGTCAAATGTAGTCAGAACACCATTGACCTCCCCCTTAGGACACAGACACACATAACCCACAGTTCAGATGAAATAAACTAAACATTACACAAATAGATGAAATATGGAGGAGTGAATGGATTTGGGAAAGTATCCTATCGCATATCTGACTGTGTCTTTGGTGGGAAGCTAGATGTACACCTGTGGGTAGAATGTTGTTTCTAAACATAGAGAGTTAAGAGAATCCCATTGAGGGCCATGGAGGATTCTGCCTGGTTTGTGGTCAGATCCCATGACAAAATATTACAAAAATTTAAAGCAACAGCTCATGTGTCTAGAGCATTGATTCTCAACCGGTGGGTTCCAATCCTTTCTGCAAATGTGTGTCTCCCAGAATTTTACTTGACAATCCATAAAACTAGCAAAATTACAGTTATGTCAAACCAATGGAAATAATTTTCTGGTTGTGCCTCACCAGAACACGATGAATTGTATTAGAGAGTCACATCACTGGGAAGGTTGAGGACCATGGTTTAGAAGATGCCTTGTAAAGACTTTGGAGGCTGTGCAGATGTTCAAAGCCTCTTTCTCTGTTGTGGAGGTGGTGTCTTCTCCCTGGATGTCATTCAAGACAGAGTGTCCCTCCCTTCCTTTCTAATGCAACTCTTCTCAAAATCATACGTGTCTCGTGCGCTAAAAACCTGTGACACTGAATTGTGCCTTAGTCTCACTTTTTCTCTAATGCCCCCTTCCAATAAATAAACTGGTGTGAGGTCACTTTGTGGTTAGATCCTGGTCCAATACAATGTGCTCTGCTTCTCTCAGAACTAGGTCACACAGATAACCATGACAGTGACCCTCCTGTGAGGTCACAGAGGACAGGCCTTCCTCTGTTCAGGTATGCTGAAAGTTTACACAGCACATGGGTAAATTTTGGACTGGTACTTAGGGGAAGCACCTGAAGGATTCCCTGAAAAATATTTTCTTTATCAAACTTACACCTCGTCTTCCTACATTAGCAGGGAACACCATCTCTGTATAGAACAAGGCCAGTTTGAATGGTTTGAATGGGTCATGCTCATCCCCAGTGTGAAAAGCTCAAATCTCGTCCTATCATTTCTCCTGTTATTTTTATCAGCAAGTTTTTCTCATCATGAAACTTGCAGTGTCCCATCAATAGGACCTTGAGAACCAAGATGGTTGATATATTTGTCCTCTAACCTGTCCCTCAACCACCATTAATCAGCTTGAAATGAGGGTTGCCCAGAAAGCAGAATGTCATGAAATTCCCCTACCTGGCTCTGCCATGATCGTCAGAAGTCAGTTCCTGGAGACCAGCATAACAGCAGAGTTCCATCCTGTCACAGTTGGGAACTGGAGTGCCGAGGCAGGTGTTGGCTCTTCCTCAGCTTTGGTCACCTTTTCTGACAAACACAGGTGGAGGTTAGTAAAAGAAAAGAACTGACATGTCTGGACACTGTGGGCTGTCGTAGAGGACAGTTGTCCCTGGCCTGTGTCTCAACAACAGAGCTTTATCCTGTGAGAGTATGTAGCTTGAAGTCTCTTCACATGGTACAATCTGGGGTTGTCCTCTGATAGCATCATCTGGTGACTAGCGCTTGGACACTTGTGCTGATAGTCTCCATCTTTTTCTGCTGCTACAGCAAGGTCCTCATAAAGATCACTCCAAAATGATCCAGACCCTATTAATGTGGATGTCAGTGAAGGGACCTCGGAAATCTATCAGGCCTCTTTGAGTAGATCACTAGATAACCCTAGCATAGGAATGGACTTTGGGAGCCCATTACACATAGAGGGATACTTCCTGATCCAAGACACACAGTGGAGAGCCTATACCCTCTCCCAAAGGATATGACAACAGTGAAGAGCCCCCATGTTTGATCTAACTCTTCCTGGGGAGCAGAAATAGTATGGGATAGTTGGGAGTGTTATTCGGGTGCAGAGGAGAGGGGAGAGGGAACAGGGTATGACATGTAAGATAATCTTTGTCTAATTTAAATTAAAAAATGGAGAAAGAAATGATCACTCCAAGACCACGTTATGCTTCATACCCATATCCTGCTCACCTCACAGAAGAGAACATGGAGTTTAAATTAGGCCTTCATCCCACGAATCCTGTTAGTGTTTCTCCAACCACTTAGTCCAAACTTCCTTCCACTCTGCAGTTCCATCTGAATCCCAGCCAACCCCAGTAGACACTGTGTTCCCTCTATAGTCCGTAGCCTTTACCATGGCAATGAGCTATTATGAGGTCACAGAGGCCTGAGGACACCTCTGTCCAACTTCTCCCTAGGTGCCTGAGTATGACATGAGGAACCACCATGGATCCCCATCTTGTGCTGAGGGCACTGTCCCAGCAAAGTGGGGTGTTGTACAGGTCGTAATGTCATCATATTAACAGAGCCAGAGCATTAATTCACCCTGCCTTTTGTAAGTTGTTATTGGAAGATTGTGACATTATTCAGTATCATCTACATGAACTTTCCCACATGGATGTGAACCCGGAGACAGGAGCATAGACGTCAGTAACACACATCCAGGTGAAAATATGTACATAAGTACAGAATTAGAGGGGAGAGTGCTGCCATGGTGTTTCCTGTGATAGTGACATTAATGTTTGTTCCTACATAATGTCAACTATCTGAGTACAAATAAAAGGACTCTCAATACCATGTAAGCTTATACATCCGTATCTCATAGGGTTTGCTCATCATCCCTGGACAAGCTAGGATGAAGGTCAAACGTGGACATACAAACAAGAACCCTTGATTCTTACCTAGGCTGCTACTGGAGACTTGAGTCTTGTTCCAGATACCTCTGTGTGGCTTCATTCCAGGGCCCCTGTCACTGTTGAGTTTAATTGTTTCTTTCCCTGTGATCTTCAGTTGCCAGTCCTACTGCTGTGAGACTTCTAACTACTGCAGTTTCTAGTTCTTTGGATGAGGTGTCCTAAGTGAGGGACATTTCAAGCACCTCAGTATGTTTTAATCTCTATATGTAAAGTTCTAGTGAGGAAGTGCCTCACACTGAGGGAGTAACCCATGGGATAACTATCTTGTAGTGTCCATACCAAGTAACAGCCCAAACCTGCTGAGACTCATGCTCTTGCTTTGACTCTCAGTCCTCCTTGGTGGGGTCTGAGTTGTCCTCAGGTAACACCAGTGATGTTACTAGGGCAGGGTTCTATCCTGTGAGGTCACATAGGTCTCACCTCACCTCATTCTGAGAATCCCAAAGGACATCCAGGCCTCAGTTCTCTCCTAGCCTGGCCCATCCTTGTTCTCTGCTGTGCAAGCATCCTCAGAATCTCTTAGCTTTGTGGAAGTCTGTAGAAGCATTTCCCATAGATTTTCCCTGGGGATCATCTCCATGTTTTTCCTGTCAGCCCTTCATTTTCCCATAGGTTCCATCAGCCCTGAGACAAGGAAAACAACTGATACAAAAGCAGCATCCTCAGCACCTGTTTCTGAACCTCACCCTCCGCCTCATTTTCTCAGATTCTCTGCAGCCCTCATGGTTCATTGCTGTCACTCAGGCTGCATTGAGCTCGCCAGTACACCATGTATCTGGCTCCAAATGTAACCATAGAGGCCTTGTTGTCTAACCTGACCCATGGACACCATGTGTCTCTTGGCTTACTAGTGTTGTAGCCTATTAGGGAAACCCAGGAATGCCTGTGGTCCTGGGTTTTAGAATGTAAAGTACAAAAGTGCCCGGATGAGTAATGAACTCTTACACACTGTGTGCATGAATCTCCACAGACATAGATGCAGGCAGAGCCCTGCTTGTGAGGTGCAGAATCACTGGGAGCCCCTGCTTTTACTTGTGCCACCTCAGCCAACCTTCCACCCTAACAGCTGTGTGAGTAGATCATCATGCTGTCCAGAATCTCGTCAACCCTCTGTCCCCATGTGCTGGAAGGTTATGTAGTAGTGGGCTGATTTTGTACACCTTACTCTGACATGGAACTCTGTCAATCCATGCTTCCCCACAGCTGGAAGTGCAGTGTCTCAGTCACTAGGTTTTCAGTGTTTCTCATGAAGGAATGGTTGTTGTAAAATACGAGCAACACCATATACTGGGAATTGCTGAGCACTCCTGGTCATGGAACACCATGATTCCTCACAATGTAGCCCGATTCCACAATTAATTATGAAAAGCTTTAAAGCTTTGGCTTAATTATCCTGTCTCTGATCTTGGAGATAGAAATTGCAGATTCTTGCATGAGGATGTCTAAGGAAGTCTCACTGTGTTTGTTTGCATTCAGATAGCCTTCCCTGTAGTATGGCACATGAGCATGAGGATGGTGTATGTGTATTTGGTGATTGTAGGAAGTCAGCATGCAGGGTGGAAGAACAGGCTTTTTCAGAAAATGAAGGGGCTGCCACAGTTATGTCCTGGGCCTGGCCTTTTTTGTTGTCCCCTTGGGACCAGTAGGTTGTTGCTGACTGACCACTATTGAACACAGGTTCTGTGTGGCAATATTTGTGCACAGACAGACTTGTTTGTTAATTACTCTGAATGGTATTCCTCTCTACACAAAGCATGTTCCTCAATAGTGGCTGAAAGGACAAAGTCTGTCCAATCCTGATTAAAACCTTAGATTTAGAATTTTAAGAGGGGTCACCTTTAAAGTCATCTGCACTGCCATCCAATGTTACACTGGCACGTTAATTCTATGTTGAAACTCACAGTTGCCTGGGGTTCAAATTAAATCCCCCATGAATTAGCTTCTCTGTGACCTAAACATTTGTACTGCTTTTCAGCCAACATAGTCACTCACAGGATTTGTAGCGTCAAGCCTCTACAATGGGAAGTGTGTCATCCTACCTTCCCACTGGATCCTTATGGGGATTCATATGTCCTACCACCATTCCAATGTCATAAAGAACCCCAATTAGGATTTTAGAAAGTTCATTTTATGTAAAATCCTTGTTCCACTCATACCTACAATAAGGCTGACACAGAATCAACATGATCCTCAGAACAGTGAAATAGGGCTATCTCTAGGCAGTGCAATCAACCACAGGTTACTGCTATTAATATATAGACCATGTTGAGTAGTTGCATAAAGCCGTTACTGTTTCTAGTTTTGTAAATGAAGGTTGTGATGGCTGAGCTGTTTCCCACTGTGTGGCATTTCCATGTCTTTACTCCTTCAAAGGTACATGGACACTTGGTGATTCCCATGTTGCTATTTGGAATGTCCCTGCCATGAGTATGTGAGCCAGCCTCTGGCATGCTGGCTGTTTCCTTTAGACCATTATCCGGTAGTGTGATTTCTAGATCTCCTGGAAACTGTCTTTGTCTCATTAAAAACATTCATGTTGCTTTCCATAATAACAAGGTATTAATTTGTAAAGTTTTTGTTATTATTTTTTAGTGACTGTTAATTAAAAACAAACAGGTATTAACCTGCTTTCCTAGGCTCTACATCCTAGGCCACAACTGGTGCACAATACTATTGCACTACCTGAGAACTCACTGGTACTAGAACTTGAGGCAAGACACTGCCAGCTAACCATCATTAAAGCCTGTTTAGTTCTCCCCAACTCCCTCCCCAAAACCACACCTCTAGCAGATATTTGCTGTTTTACTAGAAGTCACATCAATACCAAGAAGCCCGCAGATCAAGGCAGTACCTGGAACCCCACATAACACACAGGCTGTCAGAACCACAGAGGGGACACTCTAATGGTTCTAAAGTCTTCCTGGTCACCACAGCCCTAGGTCATTTAGGACAGAAAATTAGAGAGGAAACAACCCCCCGAAATAACCAAAAAATTAAAAAATCTAG